CCAGTCACATGAAAACCCAGAACCGTCAGCATTCTGGTACCCTATCATTGGTATCAAATGACATTCCTGCAACACATTCTTTGGGTTTATTAATTAACTTCTCTACTGAGGTTAGATAGAGGAAAGTCACACAACATGTAGATTGGGAATCCTTCAAAGTGATGATTACCAACTGTGTCTGAATGCTCAACATGTTTCAGTTTATTTTTGTTTTACTCTAGAACTGATTTCAATGAAGGACATAAAACACACACTCATTATCAAAATAATACAAAAAACCCACTTTCTTTTAACAGCATTTGCAAGCACAAATAATACAGAATTATACAAAAAGTTTGATGAAATGGTCATAGTCAAGAGATATTTAGGAATTACGTAAGTTTTGAAGTAGATTTTTGAATAAAATGATAAGCACGAATTAGCAAGAGAGAAGTGTTAAGGATGGAAGACGTTTCAAATGAAGAGACAGAAAATGTAAAATAAAAAATCATAAGCCCCCTGAGAGCAGTGGTAATTTCTTTTTAAAGTATTTTTACTAATTATATATGAAATGATAAGTACTTGTTGCAAAAACAAGAAAATGCTAAGTATAAAAAGTCAGTAAAAATCAGCCATAGCCTAAATATCCAGGGATAACCATTTTAACACTTTGGTTAATATAATTTCTACAAAACTATGTTTTATATGCAATGAGTGATTCATTTGTTGAGATACAAGCACCCTCAAGTTTTAGAACCAAATAGATTTGGTTCAAACTGTGCCCCTAACACTGGGTAGCTATGCCACATGGACGTGTTGGTTGATCTCTTTGGGCCCAAGTTTCCTCCTCTAAATGAGGATGATAACTGTTTCATAGGGTTATTATGAGAATTAAGGAAGATGCTGTATATAAAGTACCTTAAACATAGTAGATATACAACAAATCATATTGCTCTTCTGCTATTATAGTTAAGCTGACTTCTATACATATTTTCTTAAGTTTTGAATATGTGTTGTATGAATTAATGAGGCTTTATAATATTGACTAATTGGTACAACTCTGAACAGAGTATTGATACTATAACTTGCTTTTTTAACAGAGAGGCTTGCTATGAAGGAAATATTTACTAAGTTTGAGTTCTCTGCAGGAACCCTCAGCCAATCAAATTTTTTTCATTACAAAAGTGAAATTTTATTTTTTGTGACAAATTTTGAATAACTCATCATCTGAAGAGTTGAACTACCCAAAATGATTTAAAAGTATGCAAATACATAAACTAAATTTATTATTAGTAATAATGGTCATTGGACTTAAAAATGACTATTCTGATAATAGCTGTTAACTAGTTGAGTTGCTAGGAATATATGAAGGTATCTATCTCATGTGTTATATGGAAATAATGAGGTCTTGATGCCCTGATGAAGTATAACTTCTGATGGACATGGAGGTTCCTACCATTTACCTTCTACTTTTTTGTTTTGTTTTGTTTTAGCTTGATTTCAAATTAATCTTTATTATGGCACATTATAGTAAATATTTGTTTTTAAATGAGAAATTACAATATTTACTGCAAAATATTTTAAATGAGAAAGATTCAGAAGTATTCAGATTTTGCTGTTTTAAAATGTTATATCTGTGCTGTTGGGGAGGCCGAAACTTTCTTCTTCCTTCACGGTTCTTTCTGCTGGTCTAATAATTAAATCCACATGAGACAGATTAACAAGATAAAATAACCAAATTTAATACATATGTACGCATGGAAACCCCACATGCATGGGAATTTCAAAGACAGAAAGCAAAAATGAGGTATATGTGACATTCTGAGCTTAGGATCGCCTTGGGGCTTCAGAGGGGAGGAAGGTCATTGCAGGATGATAAGAAAAGCAGATGCTCAGGAACTATTAGTTTATCTTGCCATAGAGACAGGTCAAACCAGATTACCTTGGATAATTTCTTATTATGGGCAAGGCGCCCTAATTCAAATTCTTCTAGGTAGCGAAGGGGTGGGGGAGGGCAAAAATTTCTCTTGGGTTTGCAAGGTCTTGGTTGCCTTTAGCTCAAAATAATCCACATACCACAGAGGCACACCTGGGGGTGACTTTCTAAACCACTTATTCTGTATTTGGATCTAATTGAGTCTACAAATGACAAACCTTGTGATGCCATAGACTTTTACATTAAAACATTTTAATTGAATGTTTTTCTTTTAAAATAGTATCTCTGAAGAAAAATAAAAGCTTTGTTCTAAGAATAATTCTTTGAAGTTTCAGGTAGGACCTAAGAGAAATCTTCAGCTATTTCATTATAGTTTAACAAATTAGCTGTATTAATAATTAAATAATTAGAGATGAGTTTATTAGTATTATATATATTACATATATCACATATATTAGTTTTATAGCCTCTGCAAAACTTTTTAGATAATTTTTCAAGTATTCTGGATTTATCCAAACTAAAACTGAAACCAGACAACAATGGGTCCAGGCTGCCTGTCACCACTTGATCCAATTAAGCAGAGACAGGGTTGAATCACATATGAGCTTTTATTCCAATATTGCCAGCAAATTGGGAGAGGAGTAATGGTCATCCATGAATATCTGCTCTGCCGCTCCCTCTCCCCCCATAAGCCAGCTTCTTATATTGGGTAGAAGGACAACAATTACATGGGAAAGTAAGAATTATAGGCATGGGGAAGTATGCAAGGTATAATACTAACAGGTTACAAGCAACGTGTGTTGGGGGGGTTGTAAAAGGCAGACGCCTCTGGGACTCCAGATGGGAGCCTCCAGGACCAGATTACAGGCAATGTGGGCTGGGAGTTGCAATGAGCAGGTACTTCCAGGATTCCATTGTTTTGGCCACGAGGTTGTTAATCTTTCCATGATGACAGGCAGTTCTCGGAAAAGGAAAATGGACCACATTCCAAGAATAATTCCCATGTCCAGGGGTGTACAACTCCCAGCCAGGTTAGAAAGTGCTTTTTCTAGTTAGAACAGAACAATCACAGTTAACAGAACATGATTAATATTTCTTATAATTATAGCTAGCAATCACGGTCAACAGAGCATGATCAACATCTCTGCCCCTAACAAAACCACATTTACCTAAACCTTTTTTTGTTAATATTTATTTCATGTATATTTGTTATAATTTAATGTTTAATTTTCTCATTCATTTACACCATTGTTATAGGCAGTTAAACAGACATGAGCAGAGCAAGGACAATGGGTCAGGTACAGAAACTCACCAAGGCAAAAAGTCCCAGATGCCTAACAAGGTACAAAACTGGGAAAACAAGAACCTGGCCCTCAGGGTAACCTTTCCTCCCCTAGCATATTGCTAGTCATGCTGTTTAGACACCCCCTGACATTTTCCTCCCTAAAGATAACATCTAGGCCTCAGGTGTATTTCAGCTCCTAGCCCTGAAAAGCAGCAAAACCAGACTTGTGACACCTTGGCTGCTTCAGGACAAGCTGCTTGACTAATGACCCCCTGCCCTGGTGCTGATGAATCAGTGGAGACCATGACCCTAAAAAAGCATACCTGGAAAGCTGATGAATATTCTACTAAGAGCATCCCCTGGGACCTCCCCTAAGATTTCCACAGG